AAAAACAGCCATGAAAACGGCGTGGAGAGAAAACAGTGTGAGGCGGGAAGGCGAGCCGCTTTTTTCCGGAGTGTTGCAGGGAGATTTCAACATGCTGGAAGCCCTCTGGGAGAGAAGGCCTGGAACCGCTACGAGACGGACCCCCGTCTGCCACCCAATGCCCAAATAAAGGCAACGGAGGAGCGATGAAGCGGGAACGCCTGCCAGCGGATGCCGTCTTCCGGCGGGACTGTCACCTAGCGAGTGGAAAATGCAGGCTTGTTGGACAGCACAAAATTCCCCTCGGAGAGATTCCAGAGCACCAGACTGACAGGCCTCTGGGCGGCTGGAGTCTCCGGGGGCCGAAACGGGATCTGTGATCTGGACCGAGGGCTGGGGACTTGCTTTGAGGGACCCGAGTATTTTAACAAGGGAACAAAAAAAAAGGAAAGGAAAAAAGAAAGAAAGAAAAAAATCAGGACGCATAACAGGAATATAAATAGAAGCCGGGACGATCCACTGCTATATATGGAGACGATTGCATTCTAGGGCCAAGGGCTGGAATCGATTGTTTTACATTCTTGTCTAACTTTGCATTAGTCAAAGATTAATGCCGTGAATCGAGATGATATGATCGGAACGCAGCGATGTTGTGGGAGTCTAAACTAAATAACAGGCTTTAGAGTTTCTCCTCAATGTTCTGCATGCCCCTCACAAATCAGAATGGATTCCACTTGTCCCTAACAAGCTCTAAATTATGATGCCTAAAAGTAGACCGCTCTCCCTCTCTCTCTTTCTCTCTCTTTTCCTGTGCCCTTTTTTTAACCTGTTTTCATCACATCTGCACTGGAGCAAGATCAGCATGAAATCTTCCAGATCGCTGGGAGAGGACACTGTGAAAGTATCTCAGCTCTCCATCAAATCTCATTACCCCTGACTGACCTCGCTCAGCTGCATGAGGAGGATATCACCGTTTCATTCCCTCTGACAGCCCGTGTTCATTTCAACATATAAATTTCCTCTTATTGCTAAAGAGCAGACCTCATACAGATGAGCAGCTACACACTTTATTTCTCACAGATAAAGATCTCCACTACACTGTGAATCCTGTCCTACTCAGATGAATGAGTTATAAACAGACGAAGGTCCCGATGACTGCACAAATCCAATCCTTATTGAAAACGTCCATCACTGGCCTTGTTAATACCACTGACAGTTTTAGCAACTTGGCTCTCCATGTAAATGTGATGCATTTTGAATTAGATCAGAAGATGACTCACGGCTCAGTCCAGCCACGCGCCACACCATCACAAGAGCGATGCTTTCACACAAGGGCCGTGGGAATACTCTAGAACACAGCTTCAGGTGCCCTGATTGGCCTTTCCTATACACAGGAAGTGATTTGTTCAAAGTTAACAAGGGGTGGGGGGGGTTTGGGGGGAGTGAAGATGACAAAAAAATAAGCGGTGCTCAAAATGAGGAGGGAATGGAGAAAGATTATACCCTAATTTGGTTGCCCTGATTGGTCGTTCACGGACACAGTCCAAACCATTGGTTATACACAGGAAGTGATTTGTTGAAAGTTAAGGGGGGTGATGACGATGATAAAAAAATGAGCAGTGCACAAAATGAGGAGGGACTGGAGAAGGATTATGGCCTGAAATCAAAGGGGTTCATTTAATAGTTCTTCATAATCATTCGCTCACGAGGGAAATGTCATCCCTCCTCACCTCCCCCCTCAAAATCACACACTGGCACAGGTGGCCTAGTGGAGCACCTCAGGCGCTAACAGGAAGTGTGTCCCGCTGAGCTGACCACGAATACTGCATCGCTATGGCAATAACATCAGTCAGAGCAGGATGTGAATTATGAGGTGAGCATGCATGTTTGCTTATCTGGGGTCTGTATTGCTGTGATCAGGCATAAAATTTGCAAAAAAACTGGGGGCCCATAATCAAGGAAGTTACCCAGGGGAACTAAAGGAAAGGAAATGCTTGCAGCAGTGTTTGCAGACAACTACAGACAACATTAAAACCCATATTCATGAAGAATCTCAAAGCAGCAGCTGATTACAGATAAAGCCAAGACTTGAGCAGATCCTAGATCAACTCGTACATCCAGCTGTTTCATCAATGTGCATTTGTCTTGCAAACCAGACACCTCTTGAGATCAGTAGTTAAGAACACACGTACACCAGACACATAATTTTCTTTAGGATAATACAGCTAGGCTTTGGCATAACCACCCTTTTCAGCTGTCCCAGAGCTGTGTAGCCATGGAGATCTCCATGACGCCTAATATTAGTTTCCAGCCCCCATCCACATAACGTCCATTTCAGCAAAGGAAAATGTGCGATCTGAACTGCACTGGCAAGTTTGTGCCACTACCTTCCACCCCACACATCGATATTTATTTTCCATCACTCTTAGACCTGTCTACGCTGCTTCCACCTCTCTCAAAGTTTGATGAGCGGAATGTCAAAGGAACAAAAATGCTCCTGACATCAGACAGGTGCTGAGCAAAGTGACACACAATTAATCCCACTGAAACGGTGTGTGAAGCCCTTCCAGGCCCGGGGCGATAGACTACTCCCCTCCCTCTCTCAACCACCCCACTTCAGTGTCACTCAAAGCCAGTGTGCTTACCTGTTTGGACGTGAGCTTGATCAGGGAACCTTCATAACCCTGAAAACACCAAAAAGGTTGCAGGTAAATACATTACATTCAATAAACTTTAAACTGAAGAAAAAAAAAAGTGCTTACAAAAATAGTTATTTTTGTTAGAAATTAGCTTTTGTTTTTTAAGACTTGCAACATGGAGTTAGTTATTCACTGTATTGATTTTCAGATTTTTTCCCCAAATACAAAATATTCTGAAGTGCACTATATTCAGTAATAAACAGAAATAACATTTTTTTCACACAGTCAGTTTCTTTAGTAACCCGAGACCGAGGCCTTGTTTTTCAGGTGAAGCATGATGGTACATGAATCAGTATCTCTGGAGCTGTGCCACCAGAGACAAAGTGGAGTGTTTGTTCTCCAGGTCATGCCTTTCTCAGCTCAACACATAGAAAAACAACTCAACCATCAACAGCCATGCCTGTAAAAACACGAGGATGTCAATTGATTTGGAGTCTGTATTCTAACACAGGCTGTAAGTGGATTAATGAAACATTTCAACGTTTATGAAACAGACTCCACTAAATGCTCTGGTGATGAACAGCGCTGTATGCTTTACTGGAACAGACAGTGAAAGAGCAGGGTAATGTGCAAACATATCCTGCCATTCAAGTATTTTGTTTAGGAGCAAATTAAAAATTATTACAGGAATACACAGTAATTATGCAAGTGAAAGTTTATCCGAAACTGAAACATTACTCCCTGACAAAAAACACATAGCTTACCTTAAATGGTCTGAATAAAAGGTACAGCTCCCGGGGTTTGATATCTAATGGCAAACCACTGACAAAAAGCGTCCGGACCTAAGGGAAGAGACACAGAAGGGTCACGCCATGACGACAAACATAAGCAGCGGTCTAAAGAAATGTTAAATCTTCATAAAGGTTCAGCGATAATGCAAAGTTATGACACTACAGTGCTACAGGATCATGAATGTGTACTATGTGAACTGTGTTTGAGTGTGTATGTGTGTGTGTGTGTGTGTGTGTGGTGAGTGTGTATGTCTCTAACCAATCCGCAGTATTTTACCTTTAAAAGAATGCATTTTTTTAAAGATACTGACCCTGCCCCCTTCCTTAATTTCATTAAAGAACAAAGACCATTTATAGACCGTTTGGAACAAATATAATGTAAAATACTACCAGACTGTTTTTCTGGACCAGCTTAAATGTCAATAAAAAAAAAAAAAAACAAGTCTGAGTCAAAAATACTTGCATCATGACTATGTCAGTAATACATCTTGACTGGCGTACTGTGTAGTGGAGAGGGAGGGACAGTAAATATAGAAGATCAAGAACAAGGTTACAGCGCCCCGCACACTGTGGGAGTGGACCCGATACGAGACTACAGAGTGAGAATACCTCCACCACATATCAACATTTATGACCTACAGTCCATAAATTATACATGGAGCAACACAATAACTCACATTAAAATACCACTGCCATCATTCTGCATTTACAGAAAAAGGCCTAAACTCTTTGGGAGGTGGGTGGTGCCACTGACAGCAATATTCATGAACAGCATATCTTTAGAGGTTTGCTTGTATGTCCAGCACTTGGGAAAGAAGTTTAATGTTGAGAATCCATGAGTCACTAACAGCAAACAGAGCGTTCATATCTTACTGTGACTGGACATGCCTGCTTTTAAAACAAGAATGTTAGGCAAAAGTCTACATTTAACCTAACTGCAGTACACTTTGTTCTCAGGTTTAGAGCTATGGTTTAAAGTGGAGGTTACCTTTGATCATATTTAATAAAAACATCAAACATGCTACATATAAATCACACACTGAATCATTTTTCAAATGAAATCAGATTTCATTTGAAAGGCAATCTTGTCTTCAAATTTGGTGGCAGATGTGAACATCTACCCACAGTCCGATGTGGATGGAAATCCATCTGAATTCAATTAAAATTAAATTTAAACACAAGATGTGGTATTCCATTTGTATTCCTGTTCTGACACACAAAGCAGAGAGTTCTCCCCTTGCTTTGTTTACAAACGCTTCCTGGAACAAGTCTCTTTTTTTTCTTCAGAAAGAGTCTGTTTTTATCTGTGGACAGACTTATGCAATTCAGAGTCATAAGCTCAGGTTATTTGGGTAGGTGTATTATCAGAAGCACGCAGACATGAGTGAATGTGTGAAGGAATGACTGATTAAATGAAGGAATTATTGCTTTCTTTAGTGCTAAATGGAGGGTGCTGCTCTGTTCATTACACAAAATAATATCAAACTGCTCCGGAATGCAACCGATCCGAACTCTGCACATTTAGGGTATGTTGATGAACACACAATGCAATTCCAGATAAGGGGGGAAATGTTGGCAATCCTACTGGGCAGGCTGGAGTCTAGCGGCTAAGGTACATGACTGGGATCCTTGTGGTTGTTGGTTCAAACCCCAGTCTAGTCACAGCAAGAACACCACTGCTGTTGGGCCCTTGAGCAAGGCCCTCAACCCCACATTACTCCCAGGGGGGACTGGCCCTTGGTTAGCCTTGTCAACTGTAAGTTGCTTTGGATAAAAGCATTAGCTAAATGATTATACTGTAATGTACTTGCAAATCAAAAGTCCAAACATGGTCCAGGGGCTTACTCTGGTATTCTACCCTACATTGCTAGCTGGGGTATTAGCTTACCTCAAATGACAGACTGCTACCACTACTGAAGTATTACAAGGTAATGTTAGCAAATGGCCGCCCACAGTACATGTTGTTGTAATATCATTTAATCATATAATAACATACTCATACTCAACCAAGGCTAACAAGGCTAGCAGGGAGACAGTATGCACAGGCTCATACTCTACCAAGGCTAACAGGGGAGAGTGGGTATGCTCTGACACAAAGAGGCCATTTAGCCTAGATCATCCCCTAGTGCTCCAGGAGCAGGTGACCTTCTCACCCCCACCCTTATCTTATCAACACCAGCAGACCAGCTATCGACCACAGTCGCCTCTCCAAAAAAAAAAAGACAGGAGCTGAACAAAGCTCCGGTCTCTTTCACACACTTTCTCAGCCCAATGGTGCCACCATGTAAACAAAAGGCCCACTGAATTTGACCGGGCCCGGCCAAAGTACACTCACGACCAGGTAGCGAGAAATAAAAAGACAGGGTCTTTTGTCTGCGGCTCTTTTGTTTTGTGAGTCAGTCTGGCACAGGCTTTTCTGATTGAGTCACCTGTTTGAGTGGTGATACCGGAGTATTCTCGAAAGTGCTATTTTCTGAACGAGCTAAAACAAAGAAGCAGTGATTTATTCTGACATGACACCCCTTTTAGAATAACTGGATGATCCATTTCCTGCTGTGTACACACATTTCTGAACTAGTGTCACCCGCCTATGTCAGAGATGACTTGTTTGTAGCAGGTCAGTGTCCTAAATAGTGTGTGTAGATGTGTTGAATGAGAGGTGACCCAATATGCTCTTTTTATGTGCATGTTAGTTAAACAGTTCCCATAACCATACATTTACTAAAAGATAGTATATCTTTACAGCATAAAAATAGTATCATACATACATATTTTTGTGTAACGATACAACAGAATGATCCAACAGAAAAATGTACACCCTGAGACAGACGTTTCACTGACTCCTTAACCAAAATGAGCATGCCTAAAAAAAATCCTTTTCGAGAGGGTTCTTACAAACTGATCAGGTTTGGTCTGGTCTTAAGCAGTTCATTAAAACCGCAGTTTATTTCGGCCTCAGATCTGCTGGGAGGCTGATGCGTACCTGCTGCTCTATAGTGCTAAATGACTTCTCCTGCACATGATTCATTTACCATTTATGGAGCTCTGCTCTAACACACACACACAGAGCGAGCACTTGGAACAAAAACATGAGGCCGACCACCAGCCAGCTGAAGACTTCAAGAGCCACAGTGCGGTTACCTGGCAACAGTTTGGAAACTTTCACTGCCCTGAGCTAGAAACATCAAATCCTATTAAGGAAAAACTTCTCTGTATTCCCCTTTGCCGGCACAAAGTTTAAATCATCTACGTATGATGTCATTGCAGGTGAATGTGGGCACTGCATAATTAGCAAGCTCACCTGATACCGCAGTGCATTTCCTGTGCTCAGAGTCTCCCGTTTCATACAAAAATAATGATAACAATAATGAATTCTCTCACTTTTTGGGGATGTTTTATATAGATATCAATCAATGCTGGGTAAGTCAGTTGTTACAGAACAGTATGTGCTGCAATTTTTTCTGAACAAAATAACAAATACACAGCACTGCCTCACTGTAACTGATTGGGATAATGCTGGATAATATACAAGATAATATACAAGATATGCTGAAAAAGATATATTTTTTTTATCTTACAATCACTTTTTAACAAACAAATTAGTGACATACAGTGTATATAAGTGTAATTGCAGAGGGCCAAATTGACCTATAACTTTGACACATGCTGCTTCAAAGAATACCAATAAATATTAAAAGTGTCAAGCAATGAAAGAACAAATATTTAAAAACATCAACCAGGCCACACCAAGGAGAAGTGTTCCAAGCAAAGTATGACTGCCAAATGAAACTGACGATACAACAGAGTTGAGGGTTTTTTGTAGCATAAAGAAAACCGATGTCCATCTTTGAGTTTGATATATGAAAAAAGCCTGTATCACTGGTTATGCTCTGTCCAACATTTTATGGGCCTATGATTTACAAAATTTATTAAAAACGGCCCGTGCCTGCCAGACACTTGTATAATGTAATGTGATGTAATAACCAAACGGTTTGTACTTGTCTTTTTGGAGATACAAAGGTTGTTTTACCGTGGCGATGACACACAGCCAGCAGATCTAATAAACACGGAGGATCGTGCTTCCACAGGCTGTGTGCCGCAGCGACGGTTTCGCTCCTCCGGATCGCAGCAGCAGCAGCGGTCCTTCATGCTAACGCAGGCTGCCCAGGGAACAGGCAGAGAGCAGGGTTCAGTGAGGGCACCAGGACGCACAGACAGAGACCTGTCAGTCAGCCAGTGTCCCAGGATGGGTGGGGGAGATTGGGGGGGGGGGGGGTCACGGTCACATCTCCATGGCCTTTTGAGTGAACGGGGGGCTCCCGCAGGGAGGAATATCAGTCTGTCATCGTAAAACCTCTCCATACTGTCTGTCAACACTGTGGCTACATGGACTCGGACACATAAAGCTCTGCCTCTCCAGCACAACGGAATGAGCCCGATCAGCATGGACTAAGGACTGGTTAATCACTTTAGGAGATGTGTCATATTCATATTTACAAATATTAACATGATATAATACCATCTTATATTGTTTATAACACTATTGTAAACAACAACTAATATTTATTTGAATGTAGGCAATTTGATTAGAGACCTGTTTTTAGACCAGTCACATGAGTGGGACATGGGCGAAATATTGTATCTAAAATTATTTCTGTTTTATCACTTTAAAGAATGTAGAAGAGAAAGGGAGACAGGTTTCTATTTATTCAGTATAATCCTAGAGTCTGTTTTACTTGTAGTTTAGTTTTTTTATTTCTTTATCAAGTTACACTGTTTGCAATTATTATTTTCAAGTTCTCAGCAGGGTGGTGAGAGGGAGTGGCTGCAGGGCCAGATACAAAAGGCAGAGGGGGGAAGCAGAATTTAAGGAGATTTTAAGTTAATTATGGAGCTCAGGTTAAGATGAAGGTCATTTTCAAGTCAGCACCAGGGTTAGAGGTCAGGGTGAGAGCAAAGGGGAGGGGTCCAGTGGAGGCAGGATACATTTATCACTAAGACGGCAGGGTGTGGTTTCAAAGACTCAAAGCACACAATAAACACTGGGCAGAAACAATATCCAGAGGTACTTTGCCTCATCCCCAGAACTTCAATCTCAAATGGAGAGTCTGGAAAATATGCTTTGATTTTATTGACATAGGCTACCTGTGTTCTCATTGGTGCCTTCAGATTTCAAGTGGATTTGATTGGCCCAGAAAGTTTGCATATGTCATTACAGTAGAGCCACCAATGAATTTTCCAGCTCTGTGTAACTCTTTGAATTGGAATCCTGCCAAAACAAGCTTTTGATTGGTTGGTAGTAGTTATAGTGAATCAGCATTGGTTTAATGCTGCAGAACATCCCTGGTGTTAGGCAGTGTGATGTCACAATGGAGCCAGCAGTCTGTCAGACTCACTGTATGACAAACTGACCTGGCCTGTTTTTGATATGCTAAGAAACAGACAATCTCTCATGTGCGTGGACTCCTCGGGAGCACACATGGTTATTCCCCATGTCTGGATGTCTCTGTGACTTCTGAAGGAGCTGACTTCTGGACTGGATGCATTGCAGAATATTCCCACTCCAGACTTAAGAGTGCCTCATATATGAAATTGATAGACTGTTCATATTTGGAGCATACACACTCCAGGTACCTCCGAAAACATTCCCAAACAAGAGAACAAGGACCAAGAAATGTCCATACATTGGACTTTTTTGCCTGGTTGATTATGATAGCTCAATTGTGATTTCCATCACAGATTTCACAGAGCAAAGCCAACAAACATAACATATGTCAGCAAACAATTCAGACTGCCAATTATCAGCCCAAAAGCCTCCCTGTCAATAACCACCACAGTGTGAGGCCAATGGGAACACATGATATGAAACAAATGACCTCCGTGCAAATACAGATCAATTTTAGGTCAGAGCTGTGACTCCCTCCACCAAAGTAAACAGAAACCTATTCCCACCCTCAGGGCGTCTTTCTTACTTTTTCTTTTTTTTTTTTTTCCAGAGGAGACATTTCACCCTCTGTCAGCAAGAAACCTCCCATCTCCAGTCACTGGTATTCTTTTTTCTAGTGAAACCCAAACACATGGACACGCAATGCCCGGAATGGTTTGCACTGTGCTACTTGAAGAAAGTGGTTTTACAAGGCTAAGACCGCTAAAACACAGGAAATGACCAAGCTTTCCTTTCCTCTTCTGGTGTGACTTTTATTTATCTCTCTTTCCTGCCCTTTCCCCCCATCCCCCCTTGTTACTGATTGACCAACAGTGTGACAGGCTTGGTGGGAACAGGTGACAGATTTGGGGTCCGTCCTGTGAGCAGCCTTCTCTCATCAAAGGGACATTGTCTACCTCCAGGTAAAACACATGAAGGCTCACATGACCCATCCTAATGTTTTTCAGCGAAATATCATGTCCTGTACTTTTAAAAATGGTGTTGAATAAAGGTCCATATCTGAAAATTGTCAGTAAATGTGTTACTATTTCCACAATATACAAAAGACTGTTTTCTGACGTCCTAAAATGATTTCTCACTTACTGTGACATTTGTGCTTGAATCTATCATCGATGTGATGTATCTGTGGTGGGATTTTAGTATCCAGAGGTATCTTGGCTTGACATATTTTGATATATAACATATACTGGACCACTTCTGAAGTAAATTTGTATTT